CACCACGTTGGGGACCCCTGCATTAACCTATCCCGGACCAGACATCAAGCAGGTGGCGACTGTCAAATATTTGGGTAACATTATCAACAGTGTCGGGAATGTTTTAAAGATGTGACATCTGCTGCCATGTTTCACGCTCTTCAGCAGTCTCCCTGGCGATGTCTTGACATCACGCTTGCTATGAAGGTGCCATTCTATAGAACCACGCTTACGCCAACTCTGCTGTACAGAAGTGAAACATGGGCACTGAGGAAGGCTGAAGAACTCCAGAATGGTGTTTTTGATTTTTGATGTTTCCATCAACTGCTTCGTATCAAGTGGCAGGACAAGATCAGAAATTAGGATATTCTAAGCTGAATGCAGCAACTTCCTCCACCACCATGGGTTTGGTTTTGGATCTTTCTTGGTACAGAGGTATTATTAGAATGGTAGATCAATTCATTCCAAAGCATGTTTACTGAGGAACGATGCGACACAGCAGGTGATCACATGGGCGCCCAAAACTTTGTTGGCACAATAAGATTGCCAGTGATGCACATACACTAACTATACAGCTACACCGCCTTAAGCACCTTGCCAGAGATCAATTCAAGTGGTGCTCAATTTGCAAGGGGGCCACATCCCCTGGGGATTTGCCATGATGATGATGAGTAACTGAATTACTTGGAGATTTGCCACTTGCCAGAATTTCTGGCTCCAAGTGGATCTTACTCAATATGTGGCTTTTCTGAGGGCAGCCACCTTAGTTTCACCAATGAGGAAAGCAATATGCACGGGGTAGTCCCTAAGGCACCAATGCAGCTACCCCGCCTGATGTCAGAGTCGCAGGTTCAGCTGCCCAATAGTTCCTTCTGGGCTGAAAGGATTTCAAAGACACGGACAAAACACAGTGGGGTAACCCAACAGGCTAGCTGTAAAAACCTGGGACATTCCCAGATTTCAGGAAAAGTCATCCTTTTTGTGGCCTAAATGGACAGCACCCATCAGGCGAGGGGAAAAAAGGTGGAGGAGTTGCACTGTGCAGTAACTCCTCACTTACCGTCCTCCCGCTTATCGTTGTTTCGAAGTTACATTGCTTCTCCATTAGGGAACATACTTGTTTAAAGTTGTGCAATGCTCCCTTATAACCTCGTTTGGCTGACTTTACAAGGGAGCATTGCACAAGTTTCTCTTCGCCTCCTCCCCCTCCCTTCCTCCCTCCCCGTGCTTCCCCCACCGCCAAACAGTTGTTTGGCAGTGCTTTAGGACCTTCTGGGAGGGAGCAAGCGAGCGAGCGGGGAAGCTGCCCCCCCTGCCCCCAGCAGGCAGGGCCGGCAGGCAGGGCCACCCGGAACGCAGGGGCTTTAGGGACTGCAGGGAGAGAAGGGGAAGGGGAAAGTGCCGTTTCTCTTCTGCCGCTGGCTGCTCCTGCTCCTCCTGTGTCCTCCGACCCGTGCTCACAGGGCCACATTCCAAAAGGGGCTTTTAGAGCTGCAGGCCAGGGTCCCAGGGCCCCCTTAGCCCAGGGTCCTGCAGCCAATAAAGTCCCTGCGTTCCAGGTGGCCCTGCCTGCGGGGAGGGGGGGCAGCTCCAGAATCGCGGCCATGGGGGTAGTGCTGCGCTGCGCAGAGCCACCCGCACACCCCCTGCACCAAACAGGAGCAGTCCCAGGTAAGTGCTCTGCACCTCCTGCCTGCCCCAGCCCTGAGCCTCCTCCCGCACCCT